TCTTTCTCTTGTGCTGCTGTGAACTGTTAATAATCAAGTGTTAATAGTGAGGGTTCAGCTGGATCAGCATCTCAGGTTAAGAGTGGAACATTCAGTTTCTGTATTACATAAAGGAGTCACTGCACTGTACCACAAATTACTTTAAGAGGTGTTTGTAACCCCGGGCAGTGCCATGTGTACAGGCACAAATCTCCTTTATAATGCAGAAGCATCCTGCATGTAATGTCTGGGCACTGCCTGCAGAATCTGATCCTAAGGGCTGATGGGTAACATACACCATGCATTCTAAGGTGTGAACCAGCCCATGTGAACTGCAGACCTGAGAGGGCTGTACGTCTGAACCCCTTCACTAAGGGCAGTTCCTTCTGGATTCCTTATATAAACCAGGATGGTAAAGATGCTTCTGCAGGAGTTAATTCACTGAAGCTAAATTCAGTTTATAACTGTTGTGGACATTCCTTCCCCACCTCAAATGAATGGTGCAAACAGTAGGTTTGACAAAAAATGTGTCTCTTAAAAAAGTTACCTCTTCAAGTCCAAAGAGCTGGTTCTGTCTCCAGCCTGTTTCTCTCACAGAGTTGTCATCACTGAGGGATGCAAACACAAAGTTCTCTGGTAAGTGATTTTTTTCCCTTCTGTATTTTCACATTCTTTCTGAGTTACAGTGACTTTTCTGTCTTCAATTTTTAGTCTGTCTTCAGTAACCATGAAACACTTCCCACTATTAAGATCACTGAACTTATTTCTGAACCTGAGATTTAACACCAAGAATCTGTTTTTCACAAACTTCGATTGGAGAGATGACAGAATATAGTGATGGTTTGTAAAATGGAAGGTGTTTATTGATCAGAGTCTTAGAAAAACACATCTGTTTATTGGGCACTCACATATGCTTACTTTAGCCCAGGGAAGACACTAACTTCCTCTGTAGCCAGTGGAATGAGACAGAGTCTTTTAGAGGGCAAGTCAGAGCAACAGCTTAATTTCAGGAACCCAGAACTGTCCCATGAAGCAGTTTTTCTCTGTACTTAGTCCAGGCAGATGAGCAAAGGTATAAAGGGCCTAAGTTTATTCACATTATACATTGGGAAAACCTGAGTCCTCAGTAGTGCTGTCAGAATTTTGTCTTCCTGTCCCCTTAGAGAGATTTCTCCAATACAGCAAGATATTTGCAGCTATCACTAGTTAATAGATTGATAATTTCCAAGACACTCACCTGTTTTTTCTTGGATAATTCTGCACATTCTCCTTCAAGTTGATCTGCTGATCATGGTGATAAGCAAATGTATCTAAAATGTAAAAAGTAAACCTTGATTTTAAAATGCAATAGAATGAATGCAATTTGAAGATAAAGGCTTCTGTCAAGTTTGTAAAATGATTCAAATAATTGGATTTGAAATTACTGCATTCTGAAGATTCATGACATATTTTCAGTCAGGGCAGACACATCTCTGGTTGCAAAAACATGTATTTAAAAGGAGAGTAAAACCAGAATATATGTCCTTTAAGTATTGACACACACCTATTTTTCCAAGGTTTGCAGGTTTTTCTTTCTGTTCTGGGGTTCTGAAGTAGTGCTGTCCCTCATGACAGAACTGCAGGTGGGTTTTGTTAAGTCCACTGGTTCCCTTGTAGCTTGCACTTGCAGCACTGTCACTTTTAAGGAAAATCTGTTCTGGAGCTGTGAAAATGCCTTCAAGGTGTCTGTCTACAGAACTTCTTTTTGAATTGATTGCAGAATAAGCTTCTCCAGTGTCATAAGGATAATTCTTGTTGGTCATTTGATTCACAACATTGGGAACACTGAAGAAAATGTCAGTACTGTTTTGGTCAACAAAAGGATTAAAATGCTTTGTGGAAGAATTATTATGGATTGGTTGGCTCTCATCTCCAAACAGTGACAGAAAGCAACAGCTACTTCCATCTTGGGGAACTTTTGGTTTTGCAGTTTCTTTCACAACATCAAATATTTGTTCTTTTATTCCTTCACAGTTTTCTGATTCACTACTGGTCATTATCACTGGATTTTTCCTGGCAGAATTCATAGGGGCCAGCCTGGGGGTGAGCGGTGAGGTGGAGCAGGGGTAGAAATGAAAAAAATGGTTTGTTTAGTACACAAATAAGCAGAATAGTGACTGAAAACACTATGATAACTTGACAAAAACAATTTCAAAGACTTCACTGCTCATCACATGTTTTTTTCCCAAATATACATTATTTCAACCGGAAAAGTAGTTTACTGTATTTTATTTCTACTTTATAGTAAGATTGATTTAAAAGGGGCTTTGTTTCGTAACGTCTCCAAATATACAAAGCCATGGAGCACATCCTCCTGAGTAGGGAACTGTGATTTACAGAATCAGCCACAGTATGTCACTGCTGTTCCACCAGCTGACCAAAGGCAGCCGACAAAAAACAAGAATAGCAAAGAGGAAGAGAGTTTCTTCAGTTCATAAAAATAGATTGTTCTTCGAGACTACAGCTCTCTCCCATACTGTCTCTTTAGCAAGTGGCTTCCATTTGTACTCGAGATCAGGAATCCTGATTCAGCACAGAATTTTTCTATTCCACTGTCAGAAGGCCAGACAGACATTTTGTTTTGCCCACACTTCTGAGAGCAGTGGCTTTGCAGATGTTGTCATGCTACCATCATGGGCACAAAAGCTATTGTGCTTTCACTTACTTGGCTCTTCATCTAACATTTTCACTGATTTTTTTCCAGGCTGAATCTGCTGACTGACCTTTCAGAAAACCTGAGCAAATAATGGAGAGTCTCCTGAAGCACAGAGCATCAGCAAAGAAAGCCATTCCATAAAATGCCCTTTGTTTAAAAAGGTTTGAGCAATGCTATCAATGAAACTTGAAAATTGAAATGTAGTACAGAAAACTCTTACTGGAGAAAAATTCTGTAGTGTTTTGGTCAGCAAATACTTGGAACTGGATAAAAGTTCTGTAGAACTTAAATGAGAAACTAGTTTCCTCTACTTACAGAAACCTCTCCAGAACAGATTTAAAAGACTAAACACCCCAGAGTTTGTTCCTGGAGAAACATGGATAGATTTACATGAGGAAGGCAAAACCATTTTGTGAAGCAATTCAGAGGGTCCTTCTTCACTCCAGCTGATCATTTTTGTATTACTAAATAAAAGGTAAGAGTAGATGAGGAAATAAGACATGTAAAATTTTTAGTTAATATCTAATGACCTTGAGGTGCCACAGCTCTCAGTTGGATGCACATTGATTGCATCATCAATATGTTACAATTACATTAAACAATTGTAAAAGTTTACACCTGACTTTTCACAGAGAGTGAAAGAAAGAAATTCCCTTCACAAAAGAACTGACAGTTTATGGCCACAATGGATGAAAACAAAACACAGACAATACAAAGAAATGGATTTGAGCAACAGTTGGAAAGGAGATGGAAGTTGTTAGCAAGCCATGAATGGGTAGAAGATGAAAGGAGGAGCCATAAGCAGATGAATGCAGGCCTGAGGGGCTATGGAGAAATGAAAGGGCAGGTGTAGGTGAGATAAGGTTATGTAGGGCTTTAATATAAAGATATTCATTGGGAATTCATCCAGACATACAGCAAGGTGAGTACTATTCTTGTTTTAGGTTTTGCTGGAGAGAGCCAGGAGAAGCTATGAGAAAAGAGAAAGTTAAGGTGGCTAAGACTGGAAGCCATGTCTAGTTATCATGTAGCAAGTGAGCTTGACTTCCCAAGCAAACAGGCTGTAGGTACTTCAGGAATAGAAAAATACTATGTGGCTTTTTTTATAGCTCTATCTAGCCAAAGCTAGAGACTGACTGAAACTTTCAGATGGCAGATTTACAGAGTAAAAGGAGGAAAGAAAGATTAGCCCTGTAAAACCCCTAGATCCAAGGGAAGAGCCCCTGGAAAAAAAATGAAATACAATGTTCACTACAAAGGAATCTGGTCCTAAAAAGTCCATGATTAGAAAGATTTTTAATCAGCACATATGAAAGGAAATATATTCTTGATTTCTATCCATTCTTTAAAAAAGCAAAGTGCATATTCTCATAAAAGTATTTCTCCATCAATTATAGTGGGGGCGGGGCGGGGGAACCTGCAATAGCATCACAACTAAGAGTAGCAAAGAAAATGCTTCGTTCCTGGAATCCCAAGTGTAAACAATGTAGCTGGAATTGGCCAATTGCCACTGCATCAAGGTCATCAGAAAACCACTTGCCACAGTGACCAGAACTAATGAGACCTGGGGCAGCTTCCCCAGCTGTGGCCTCTTAGTAAATCTGTGCCTGTCATTCAAGGTGAATTCAGTAACACCATTGTGTTTGTGATCATGTTTCCAAGTGCCTACCCAAAATTCAGACTTTGCTGCCTTCAAACATACAAAGCTATTTAAACTTGCCTACTCCAGCTCAAACCAGCACAGCTATTTAAACTTGCTGAGTATTTCTATTTGGTTTCATTTTCTATTTGAAAACCACCAAAAATCAGTGGAAAAAAAAAGTAGCAATAAAAATCACATTATTTTAGTATTTTTCTTAATTAATCTTGACTGTTATTTCCCTCTTTAATGTTAAGTCACTGCCTACCTATGCAGTGGCTCAAACAGTTCCTGAGGCACTTTATCTGACTTCCTGTAAATACACTGGCTTGGAGGTTTTGTATTCCATGGGTCTTGACCAAAACCTTTTCTGGGCTGAGAAAAGAGTAGAAGCTGTCAAACTCTGAATGTACGCAATGGTTATAGTGTTTACAATTTTAAACTGGGGTTTACAAGCAATATACAAGTTTTTCCCACTATTTTTACTTCTTTTTCTATTTGCATTAGAAGTCCAAACCTCCTTACAGCCCAACTGAGTTCTGCATAACTCATACTTTTCCATATTTGCATATCAATATTCATATGCAAATTGTCCTTTTAGCACCTCATCCTCCCAGAGCTTGAACAAGCTCAAGTTGACGTTCCACTGAAGAGGACATAGAAAACTTTGTCTGGAAGGGACCTCAAGAGTTATCTAGTCCAACCTGCTTTGGGCCAGAATGGTCAGTATTGTTCAGGACTAAGATTCCATGACCTGGTGATACACAAAAGATTTGTTTTATTACTTCCAATAATACACTTTATAAAAATAAAGCATATTATATTTGCTATTACTTTTCTAAGGATGATTCTTTTAAGAACCCCAAAGTTGACCAGAAGAAAAAATAGTAACTTGCATCAGAACAAACAACTTTCAATTGTTTATTGAAGATAATGAGTTGAACAGGCTTTTCTCAATCGTTATAGAACACCGAGAATACTGTAACTATGTTACTCACTGAGATACTTCATGATTAAAAATTAGGTCATGGGATAACCTGGGATCATATGATACAGTTACATGAACTGTTCCTTTTAGAAATCTGCATTTATAATACATTTCAGCTCTCTTTAACCAGCTCTACAAGCCAGAAAATTAGAAAGCCATCAGTCTGTCACTAATTCTCTTTCTGCAATATCAGTGATACCAAGAGCTCAGTGGAGAAAAGCTCAAGTTAAGCTTGTTTCAGAACCATAAAAGAAATATATTTGTAAGTATGGACTGTACATTGCCACCAATCTACAAGAAATATTGATCGTTCATAATTACTTTCACCGTTTCACCACACTACTTCTAGACACCAAATAAATGAAAGTTAGTTTAAAATAATTCTGTGGAAGTAAAGTAACCAAACCTGGTTTTGCATCTTTCCTTCATAGGTCTGTTCCGAAATGTTGCCCATTAGGTTCATGTTGAAATTTTCTTCTGAAGGCTGTGTACAGTTAGAGGGCCAAAAACCAGAAGAGGACAATGGACAAGAACTAAAAGTTCTTGCTACATTGTCTTCATATTCCACACTGGAGTCAACACACGCTGATTCAGTTACTTGTGATAACTAGACAAAACATAGCAAAGAGACATTTTACTTACCTAAAACTGGTTTGATTTAAGCATAAAGTTCAAAGTAATCAAACCTTTCTCTATCTTTTACATCTACCACATGGAAGAGAAAAATTTTCATGTATTCATATATGACTTTTTCATGAAAAACATAGGGCTTATTTCAGGGAAAAACCTATCTATTTAATTTGAAGCATGCACACAAATGTTATCCTGAGGAGAGATGGGTATAAATACATTTTTAGCTTTAGATGTGCAGACAAATGATCTGCTGAATTGATTCTTAAGTAGCAAAATGAAAAATACTTCACTCCATTGAGAACCTGAGCCTGTTGTGCTGAAGTTCCACTGAAGATGACATAGAAAACTTTGTCTGGAAGGGACCTCAAGATTTACCTAGTTCAACCTGCTTTGGGCCAGATTACACTATGTCAAGCATATAAAGCAATATCAGAACACAAGGAGAAATTGGAAGGCAAAACTCCTGAAATGTCACTGTATCCTCAGCTATGCAGTAGTAATGCCTGTAAACCAGTTTATCTAGTGAAAACAGCACAAACTGCTAATGCAGAGCAAAAGCTTTGTGCATTAATTGCACAAAATCTTTGTACCACAAAATTGGAAGTTTTCGTAAAGCTGAAAATTATGAATTTTATAGCCCCTTTTTCTGCTTGATAAAGTAGAAAAGTTAATTATTTAAAGTGGATGTACTTCAGCTTACGAAGATGTTCAAAGCAGCTCTTTGCAGCATACAGGATTTAGACTATATTTTTTGATCCATACATTAAATTAGCTTTCTGTGTGTGCACACTGCATTATCACGTTTTGAACTGATGTAAGTTTGTCCGTACAAGTGGAGATTGAGGAGAAACATAACTATCATTTTGATCTGTAATTTATGGACACACAAAATCTGAAACAGGCCCTCCCTCTCTTCAAGAAACAGATGAAAAAGGGTCATAAGGGAAGGCTGACACTGTCATATTCAAGAGTAGTGGCAGCTCATGGTGATCTTGGCTGAAATACATTAGACAGCTAAAATTTTCACCCATGCTAAGTAATTCTTATTGACTTTAAAAAAAAAACTTGGAACACTAGAAAAACATTGTCTTTCTAACTCTAAGAAAACATGTTTTTGGCAACATGAATGCACCAAGAACATACAGAACAATACTGTGCATCTTTTGCAAGCAGCTCTTTCTCAGAGTTCTATCTGATATGAACAACAGGAGTCAGTGGAGCTATATTATTAAGCAAGTCTGAGTAACCTAAACTAGTGTCTTCCAACAGACATACTAACTTTTTTTTAGGTTGTGTTGTGGGGTTTCTTTTAAGCATCAGTGAAATGGGTCATAAAAAAGCCTAAATTCCATGTAGAGAATGTTTCTAACTGTAACCTCAATGGGTGTGTGGACTTTCCAATTGTATCCACTGAGACTTGCACTCAAGTTCCTCTTAAAGACTCACTTCTGTTTATGCTCCTCACATTCCATCATTTCACACTTCTCCATGTCTTTTCTTAATTTCTCTGCTTATTGGCATCAGTCTCCCATAATCTCTGTCCCTTGTGACCAGCTTAGAGTACAGATATTCTTAAGTGATTTGAAAAATGCCTGAAGCAGAGTGAGCCTTTCAAGAACTATGTAAGCAATAGCAGGAACAAATATAAAATGTGACTGGAAAATAATATATCAATATAGTATTAAAGAGGAAGGCTTCACATGTTTCAGTATCCATGAGATTTGGGCACTCTATAAAAATCAGTTAAAAATACAGTAATTGCTGCGCATTTTGAGTTCTCTACATAAGTACAAAAAACTTACATTATGCTGGTATTTTACTTTCTCTAAGAGATGCTGTCTCCTGCTGTCCAACACTTGCTTTTGTAACCTTGCAAAATGAATTAAAACAGACTATGAAATGCAAGATACAAGATCTATAGGATGAAAATATTCTGAGTATTGATTTCAAAATAATTTAGAAATATTTTTCCCACACATCTTAAAAAGGTCTGGTTCTTAAGCAGTTATAAGCAGCCTGCATGTGAGCCAGTCATATTAGGGTGTTTGAGGCTGGATGGGGAAACAGTGTCAGTGGGTGACACTGTTTGATCCCTCTCTCCTCGAGTTACACTTAGTGTATGTACCCAGCATGAGTAAAGACACATTACCTTTTGGGTTTTTAAATCTCTCTGCTTCATGTGCAGCTTTTTGTTCAGAATCTATTTATTTACTCTTTCACAGTAAGACTATCACTGGAATGTCAGGAGTGATTGTGAAACTTCCCTGTTTACCATGGGATGTTTTCCAGGACTTCATTATAGAACAACTACTGCCTATTTTATACAAGTACCTGTTCTGGAGATCATCTAAGTTTGACTTATGCTGTGTACGTGGGGGTGACATGGGAAGCTCCAAGTTGTGTCTCCTAACAGGTATTTTTGCATCTCGAGTGATATCAACATGGACTGGCTTCCTTGTGTTCTCTGCAATGAAAGCATTTGGTATGTCAGTGCTGGGCCTGGAAAAGGTTTTGAGGTGCCTGCATTTTCATTAGAGTACAACAGGAATCAGTTTAGATTTCTTAATCCATTTAAAGGTATATTTTTTGCTTTCTTTCTTACCACCAATGCAACAAGGTCTAAGTAACACAATAGTATAAAATTATCTACAGTCAGACGATGTGTGTGGATAGGCTCTGTTGCTCTCCTCAGTCATCTTCTACTCTGAGCATGGGACAACAAATATTCTACCATTTGATTTATGAATATGTCACAGAGGATAAGAATCATAGAATTGTTTAGGTTAGAGAAGACCTTTAAGATCATCAAGTCCAACCATTATCCTAGCACAGCCAAGTCCACCACTAAACCATGTCCCCAAGGGCCATGTCTACATGTAAAGAGCTAGGACTCAAGCTGTAGTGATGTTTATTTAGGAATTTAATCATGGATTTTGAGAAAGATAATCTGAATAGAACTGACAGTCTATTCCAAGTGTCCCCATGGTTATCTAAAGGGAAGTAGATCACAAATGGACCTGTTCAATGGCAAAGGGAAAAAGCAATGGATGAAAGGTAAAATTAATGAATGGAATGAGGAAGATACATAAGTGTACAAGGCTTTAAAGGTGAAGTAGGCAGTAGCCAAGGTTATTAGATTCCTCTTATCATAGACTCATAGAATCATAGAATTTAGGGGTGGGAATGGACCATAGAGATCAGCTAGCCCCCTGCCCTGGGCAGGGACACCTCCTCACTAGATCAGGTTGCTCAAGGCCTCATCCAGCCTGGCCTTTAACACTGCCAGGGTTGGGGCAGCCACCACATCCCTGGGCAACCTGTGCCAGTGTCTCACCACACTTAGAATAAAAAACTTCTTTCTCACATCCAACCTAGACTTTCCTTCCTTCAGTTTGAACCCATTACCCCTTGTCCTATCCTAACACAGAGTCCCTCTCCCGCTCCCTTGTAGGTCCTTCAGAGACTGAAAAGTTGCTAGGAGGTCTCCACACAGTCTTCTCTTCTCCAGGCTGAGCAGCCCCAACCCCCTCAGCCTGTCTTCATAGGGGAGATGCTCCAGTCCTCTTACCAACTTCGTGGCCTCCTCTGGACTTGCTCCAACAGTTCTATGTCCTTCTTACGTTGTGGACACCAGAACTGCACACAGTATTCCAGGTGGGGTCTCACAAGAGCAGAGTAGAGGGGAAGAATCACCTCTTTTGACCTGCTGCCCACACTCCTTTTGATGTAGCCCAGGATTCAATTGGCAATTCGATATGATATGTCCTGACTTTTTACTCAATCCTAATTTTTGAATTTATTTACAGGGTTTTTTTATTTTAAAAATAAGATAACACTTATTTAATATTAAGTTATCAGTGGAAGAACAAGAACTAAAATAGCAGTAAGAATAACTGACCCTGTTACCTGAGAAGTCAGAGCAGTGTGCCCCAAGACTCACCAGTTTTTTCTTTTTTGGTTGATATCTGGTTGACCACATATAGATTAAGAAGATCTAAACTGACTGCTGATGTTTTAGGAGATGATAATCCCAGAAGGTTCATCTTTGATTCAAGTTTCTTCTTTTCAAAGTATTCCTTAATTTTTTTAAGGAGAGAATAAATTTTTGACAGAAGCTTCAACAACACAATAGCAGTACAGATAACTCTTGAAATTAACAGGCAAGACTTAGTAAACAATTCCTAATAATAAAAGCACAGAATTAACTATCTGAATTCTCACACCCTGTTTGCCGTTCATTTATTTTTATTGCCTTGAAAAATACTACAAGTTTAATTTGGTCATATCCAAAATAAATCACTGTTATCGTGATGCCAAAAATTTAGTCCTTAAACACTCTTTTCTCAAACTTTGTGTATAAGCATTAAAAATATTCCTTTAAAATACAAGATATCAAATGCTGCAATGAAAAAAATCTTTCCTAAATTTAAACTTGGGCTTTTTTTAGGCAGCTTGTAAGAGGGTGGGCAAATAAATCATCAGGATTACATAGACATGGCCATCTATAATGACACAAGGAGTTTATTGTTCTCCAAATTTGTCTTTCTTGACACAGAAAACAGTCTCGTGACAAAAAAAAAGAGAGGGGAAAAAAATAAAGAAGAAAATTCTCTAAGAATGGGACTTCAGAAAGGCTTTTTGTCACAAGGAATAAAAAGAGACATGACTGACACTTGGAATATATCATGCAGACAATTCTGGAAAGCTTAGAAAACAAAAACCTCCATTGTGTAGAGACTACTTAGAACCATCCCAAAATCATTAGCATCAAGTACAGCAGATGAGCAAATAAAACCAGTAAGATTTAGTTTTTCTAACCACAAGAAGGATATTGAAAACTGAAGACTACACCAAAACAAAGGATAGCATTGGCTTCCTCCCATGACTGCAGGTTACATGTAACTACTATACACAACATATTCATTAGAAACTATTTTCCAGTATAATTTATTATGTCACAATCTTTATCTTTCTAGGACAACATCATCTGTGCAAAACATCTGTTCTTCACTTAAGAAGAATATCTTCTTTGAGGTAGAATGGGCCAATATACAAATAAGCACAACAAAATTCATATTACTTTGGAGTCCACAGCCCTAAAATGTACCTATCCACCTCCCTTCAGTGTCCCAGGTGTTTTAATCTCTAAATTACTAAACTACTAATAATTGTGTAATAGCAATTACAAAATTATCACTGTGTTTAGTAGTCTACTAAACATTACTAAAAACAATCCTGTCTTGGATCCGTTCCTGTTTTCCCTCCTCCACTTAAGAAAATTACGTAGTAGTAACATAAATTATGTGGCTTAGACCTATAATCCCTAGGAAAACAGACATTTTGAGAACTCACAGCCTTCCAGGAGACTGGGAAAGAGGTGAGGACAACAAGCTGCTGATTGGTCCCACATTCCCTGATGGAAAGGTTTCCATTTCAGTAACTGTCTCCATACAGTCAGCCTGTTTTCCCTCCTCCTCTCCATGCACTATGTTCTGCTATGCCAGGGATAAATTTGAGTCTCTTATTTCACTTTCAGATTCAAACTACAATTAAGCTGGCCTACTTTTGCAAATGCCAGATGAAGTACTTCAGTGAGCCTACCATCCTTTTATGTGGCCCAGAAGAATAGCTGTGTATATGTGTGCGAGGCCAGCTGACCACGTGGTTGTCACTGTGAGGATTCAAGCAATCCCATGTGTCAGCACATACTAACTATAGTATGGTAACAGAAGGAATTCTGTGAAACTTAAATTTTCCCCATTCATTCACTCATGCCTTCTCTGGCTCCCTCCTCTTCCTGCTGGAATTCAGTGTAGTAAACCTAGAACAAGACTTTTGCCATAAAATTCAGGCAAACACATTACAACTTGAATCTCACTCCAAATGCTTTCAAAGTTTTTCCTAAGTGAACCCACTAAAGCTATTATATAACAATATAAAATACAAGACGGCTAAAACTGTTTACCTTTTGCTTTCTCCTTTCCTGCCTTAATATGAGTCTGCTCCTGAAAAATGCAAATAAATATTATTTTAATTGCAACAGTATAATCTTGAGTCATGACTTGAATTTCTCATCAATGATGTTGAGAATTTAGGACACAAATATGTTACGTTATGTTGTGTTATGTTATGTTGTGTCATGTTATAATAGATCAAACCTTCAGGTAGTAAAATCAGTATGTCTCTGTTGAACCAGAAGTCAACATATCACTTTGATCCTGGTTTACTCAGGTAAGGACAGGACCACATTCTCTATCAGGGCTACCAAATACATTGAACATGAAAAATAAAACAGAAGGTTGTTTAAATAATTTGACCTGTAATTTGTAATCTCTTAAAACTCAAGAAATCTTTGTCAACATATTATTTTCTCTTGATTTTCTTTCTCATGCTGCAAGATAGTTACAAAACCATATTAGCAAAAAAAAAAACAAACCAACCTAGAAAGAACAAGGAGGACTATACAAGTTCCTACCTTTAGGAACTTTACAGAATATCATGGAACGTTCATTAAAAAAAGGTAAGAAATATGGATTGTCACTACAAGTTGCTGTTGTTTGTGCAATATAGGAGACAGTTATCCCTTAGACTACATATCTCACTTGTAAAACATAGTCTTAAAAGAACTGTCTACAGGACATGGTGCATAACATTGGGGGTCACTGCCATGAGCAGGGTAAGCATGGCTGCAGTCAGTAAGATCAGGACTTTTTAGAGTTTTAGAAATATGGAGTATTACTCTTTTTTTCCCCCCATGCTTAAAGTTCAAACAAACTTTCCAACCACATGCACATAACATTCAGCCTCACGGTCAGAGAAGCCCCAGTGATGGGTAGTTTTTCTGACACCTAAAATGCACATCCCAGGCTCACAGGGTGATCTGTGTTTGCTAAGTGTGTGCAATACTCCCACACGCGGCGTTTCCTTACTGAGAGTATGACAGACAAGCATTTAGGACAAAGTTGAGGGTGGTGGGTTTTCTTCCTGTTTCAAACCAAAGCTCTTCCTTCTCTGTGCTTCACAGAGGCAACTTTCAGAAACCCCATTTTGCTGGGAAGGCTTCCAGATGGGGAGGGCATTCTTTTAGTTTGATTATGCTGTGTTTAGCCACACTACTTCCCAATGTCTGACACAATCTGTGGGGTTTACATTTCTAGTGGATGGGCAGATGGTACAGCACTGAAAGAAACAGAACACTATCCTTTTTTTTTTTTAACATTACAACTCACTTTGTGATTGTTTTACTATTTCAATGAATCTCAATACCTGTACATCTTTTTCCCCAAATGGTAACCACTGCAGTTCCTGAGGGTGTGAGGGAAGGACCAGACCCAACCTGTGGAAAGACACTGAGTCCAAACGTGACCTCCTGCCTGGGGTGGGAGAGCACCTGCTGCTCCTAGAGTCTGTCACACATCATGACCTGCTGGTCTGTGAGGGGACACTGAGGCTGTCACACACACACTGCAGCACTGATGGTCTGTGAAGAGACACTGGTTCTGTCACACACACACACATCATGGGTGTGCTCAGTCTGTGAGGGGACACCAGGGCTGTTACACACACTGTCACTGTTACACATACCATGGCTGTGCTCAGTTTGTGAGGGGACACCATGTCCACCACACACTCCGTGGCTGTGCCCAGTCCCTGAGGGGACACCACATCTGTCACACACCCCATGGCAGTGCCCAGTCCCTGAGGGGACACCATGTCCATCACACACACCATGGCTGTGCTCAGTTTGTGAGGGGACACCATGTCCACCACACACCCCATGGCAGTCCCCAGTCCCTGAGGGGACACCATGTCTGTCACACACCCCATGGCAGTGCCCAGTCTGTGACAGCAGACCAGGCTGGTTACACAGACAGTGTCTGTCTCCCACACACCACAGCAGTGCCCTGACACTGACACCGCATGGAGCAGTCTCTGTCAGCCTTTGAAGGGTGTCACTCACCGACTGCCCCCGACCCAGTTCATGTTGTGGTGCTGAGGGAGGAGGGAGAGCTGTGTGTGCCGCTGGAGGTGGAGGGGGGACAATGGCCACCCCAGGGATGGTTTGCAGCCTCCTGTGAGGATACAGGGCCCTCCTGCGGGACCTCCTCCTCCTCCCTTGGGAGCGCCAGCACAGCTGCTCTCCATGTCCCCAGGAAGGCACAGGAGAAGGATTGAGATTCAGATTAGAAGTTAGGAAAAATGTTTTCCCTGTTTAGGTAGTCAGGCACTAGAATAGATTGCCCAGGGAGGTGGTGGAGTCACCAACCCTGGAAGTGTTTAAGAGGTGTCTGGATCTGACACAGGAGGATATAGTTTAGGGTTTAGGGGTTCCAGCAGAGTGACAGGTTAATGGTTGGACTTGATGATCTTAGAGGTCTCCTCCAGCCTCGATCGTTCTATGATTTCAAGGAATAGCTTTGCTTAAGTCCTCACAGAACTCCTATCTAATCAGAGAGAGGGAGGTCTTCTGATGGGTGACTTGAGCATCTAAGTTTGGCTCCTACTCTGTGTCTCAACAACCACAGAGGAAGCAGCTAATTGAGATAATCAAACTGCATGAAGTCAGTGTGTGCCTCTGTCTGAAGCATTAT